GAGGTGCTGAGAAGGTGCTGAGGTGCTGAGAAGGTGCTGAGGTGCTGGGGGTTCCAAATCTGCACTTTCCCCCTTGAGCCTTTTAGTATCTTTAGAATGTAACAGGAACATGGTGCGATCATTTTCTTACAGAATATTCTTTAGTGATGATTGGATTTTCGTTATTTATGATTTATTTTTTCTGAAGTCATGCATTACGATGATTGTATTGTTGAGTTTTAACTTATGCTTTTCATTAAAAAAATTCTCAGAAATTTACAATCTAAAATAATTTTACAGGATAATACTGCGCTTGTCAGGAATCGAACCGAGTGAACTCGAACCAGTGGAAGTTGGTTTGATTCCTTTTCTGATAGTCATCGTTAAATACTGTCAATGATGAATTGCTTTTTACATTAAAATATTCAATTTTTTTCTTTATTATGAATTTTTTTTTGTATTGATAACAAAATAATAAAAAATACGAATAATAAATCAAGAAAAAAGAATTGTTATTTGAATAAAAAAAACAATTGTGTAGTGCGAGACTTTTTGAATTTATCATTTTCAATGGATTTTCAGAAAACAGTTCAATAGGATGAAGTATGGTAGCTGCTTTTACATATAATCTACTAAACCAAAACGATTCAAAGATTGTCGATATGGTTAAACAGAATATCAACATCTATACTCATATTCTTCTTGATATTATTAAAAGTACTGGTTATAAATGCAAGTTTTAATCCAGATGTTGTGCAACTTTTTCTTAAACTCTAACGACATGGTTTTAAAAAGTCTTCATTAAAACTTCAATGGCTAAAATATGTTTAATGGATACACGTAATCGACTTATTTACTAGTTAAATCAATGATTGAAATCATAATAAAAAATACGATATGAAATATAAATCAATAAGCCAAACAGAAATTAGAGCACAAAATAAATGACAATATATTCCGATTGATTTAGAAAATTTAGATATGATTGTTATAATAGAGACCTATTCTAGTAAAAAGAAAAAAAGTAGATAAATTAATTCTTGTTGCTAAGTTTCCATTTTATGAATTGATATTTTTAGTCTTTATTGAGGGTGTGGGTATGGATGACAGAGAGAGAGAATATATGATTCATCAACATATCCAAACAACATCTACATCCACACCGTATTTTGAATGTGTTCAAGTAAATCAGCATATAATTTTTCTAGATTCGATTCATTTATGAATGCTTGTTCAAATTGACGTCAATGTTCAATATTCGTTAACTAAAATAAATAAAATAGATTTTTTGTTTTTTGTTGATACAATTGATATTTGCAAGTTTTCTTTTAATATACCTGCAGATACTATTTTTGATCAGCAATAAGAAATAAACGATTGTCTGATTCTTCGAAACGAGCACTGAAACGTGATAACATCAAGAAAAACCTAAAAAAGTAAAAGATATACTATATTATCTATGAAAATTCATTTTGACATTTCATGGAGAAATTTATTGATTTCGTATTGATCGTCATTCCTTCGGATTGCAATAAAGAGTTTTTGTTTTTCATTAATGTTTTACTATTTATCTTTTCCAAATAAATTTTCATTGTATGTGTAAGTCTTGATAATTTTTAAAAAGAAAACTAGGAAGAATATTTAACCAAAGGCAGAAAAAAAAATAGTTCATCCAACAGTCCAAATACGACTTCTCTCTATTTTACTCATAAGAGGGTGTGGGTGTGGGTATCATTATAGGTCTTGTCTTCACCCACACCCTGTGATAGACATGCACTTAACATAAGACAAGTTAACCCCTATATAGCCATACATAGTGATTTTTCTTTGTGCAATATTTGTCATTGATAATAAAGTCCATTCATTAACTTTAGCTGAATAACGTGCATTAATTAAAGCACGAAAAAAAAACTAATGTGTGCAAGTAATCATGATAAAGGACGTAATAAAAGTGAAGCTTCATATGCTAATGTTGATGATTGTTTTGTACGTGCATATAATTCTTCAACAAGTTCAATAAGAATATTATCTGATGATGATATTATTGATGAACTATCAATTATCGTTTGCTCTTTATTAACATGTTCATTATTTAATGGATTTGTATTTTTATTTGGTCGTTGTAATAATGTATAAATACGTGAAAGTATTAACATCATATATCATTTTTGGGATGTTGACCAACTATTAAAAGTTTTTCAAGACTAATTGATATAATTTTTTGTGTTAAATTATCATCATTAATTAATGTGAATCAAATATCATATGAATTTAAATCAACTTCATGAATTTCAAGTAAAAATAAACATGATGCATATGCATGAGTTTTAGTTATTAATTTATAATTACGTTCAATTAAACGTAGATATAATTCATTATATTCTTTTGTTCTTTGTTCAAGTAATATACTAGATTTACATAAATTATCACTTATTAAGGATATCATTAAAGCATCTTCATCAAACCATGTACAAAAATATTCATCATATAAATTTGAAAAATGTTATGATAATGGAAATAAATCAGATAGATATATAATTGAACCTATTAATTCATATTACATATATTTCAATTAGAATTTGTAATGATAATGTTAAATCAAAACCATGATGAAAAAATAAGCAATCAAATAAACTCTAAATTATATATTTTTAAGGGTAGATGCCAGCAAAGAAAATATTCATACTCTAATTTTCTGATTGATAGAATATATTTGAAATTATTGATATAAGCTTTTATTTCTATGAAATAAGATAGTTTGCATGTATTATATATCAAATCAAAGTCAGAGAAACACTAGATTTTCTGTTTGATGAAATTAATAATTTAGCAAAATTTATCTTTCTTTTAACTTAGAGTTCTATTTGTCGATTATTAAAACATATGTGAGACTTACATTAACTGATAATGGTAATGTATTATTACTTTGGATTGATGTTAATATGGTATCATATGAAAGTTGTCCATAGGATAATAAATCACGTGTACCTAACCGTTCAATATTTGTAAATAAATTATTTGAACTTGTATCTAATATTGATAAAAAAAGAACAGATAAAATCTAGTTTATTTTTCAATCTTGTTACCATTGTGTTGCATTTGTTTCTAAAATTTCTTCTTTTTTTTTATAAATTATTTGTTGTTTGTTTATTTTCATCATTAGATTGATTTGTGGTGAATTAATTGAAGCTAAAAATGAAGCCTATATTTCTTGAAATTGTATTCTTAATAATCAACCAACTCCAAAATTGTCTTTATATTAATATTGGTAAACAAAATAATAATATAACTATACAATATAAATCATGTCAATAAATATATGATACATATATATATTTAATTTTTTTTTGTTAAATAATAAAGATGATCTTTTATCTGGTTCAATTAAATTTAAATATGATTATAATATATTTGATATAGTTAAACCATGTCGTTGATAAAGATATTCAAATATTGATAATAGTGTTTTCGATAATGTACAACATGATATTATTTGATCTGTTTCACAACTAAGAAATGATGTTTTTTTCTTTGAAATATATTTATATAAATTATTTCTGATAGAAATATTATAAAACGTAATAAATCATGTATATCACCTGTTGAAAATTGACATGTTAATTCAACATAATTTTGTATTTTATCAAAATATATTGATAGAGAATCTATGAATGCAATTGAATATGGTTGATTATTAGAAGCATGATAAAAGACTTTTTTCATAAATTTTATTAGGTGTTGTTTCAATGTCATTTTAATTTGTTTCATTTGATATAACTATACAAAATCCTAGGAAAACAAACAAAGAACAGATTTATATTGTTTCTTATTTTCTCAAATCAATTTTCATTTACTATAAGAATCATCCTAAAAATTTAATGCTGTGGAAAAAATCCAATACGTTTTCGGAGTTCACGAGTTCAAACTTATAGAGAGTTTATCGAAATTCTCGAATGCAATTTATTTCGAAATATAATATTAGAAAGACGTCGTTTTCTTTAATTGTAACAGTACAAATAGCACGACTGAGAACTTGATCAATAAGATTCGAGAGGAATTATTCGGTCATTGTACTAATGTAGCTTAAATGCTTTCCTTTACGATTTGTATTACCTGAAATTCTGCATATTTTCTATTTCAAAATATTTTTCGAAATTTTGAATTATTCAAAAGTCTCATCTATTACTAGCACATAAACAATGTCAAAGTAAAAAAAAAAACATTTCTTTTAATTGGATTAAAATTTTTATTATACATATATATTTATTTATTTCGATAAATTAAACTAAAATATACCGGTGACATCATAAATGGTAATCATTTTTTATAAGTTATATTTTTAAGCATTTGTTCATAAATTTTTCTTGTTATATCCATAGGACAATTAAGATTATTAAAATCTTCTTTAATAATATCAATTGATGTTGTTATTGATAATATGTATAAAATTCATGGTATATATTTAGGTAATAATTGTTCATTTAATGGTAATGGAAAGAAATTGTTCAATTAATAAAACTAATATAAGACCACTTTCATATTAATGTATTCCTTCACAAACGAATAAATGACTTGCAACTGATGTATGATGTATAAGATCAAATAAAAAATAATAATAATAAATAATAATGTGTTGTTATTGATGTAAAATGTTCAACATATAATTCATGATGACATATTAAATCACAATAAGATTGTAATTGACTACTTATAGATAAATGTGTTATTAATGATGATGGTGTTAATATTGGTGATCACCATGCTTCTTGTATATAATCAAGTATATTCAGAATATGTGTCCATTGTAATAATAATGAGATATACAATGATGATCATAATAATTTACAACATTCATTTAAAATAGTTAAATATGAAAATATATCAAGACAATGTACAGTTTCATCATGAATTCAAAATTGATGAAAATCATTTACAATTGTTCGAAATTGTTTAACTAAAATAAAATCATAGATTTTATATAAGCATAGGAATTTTAAAGTCAAATGTTTTTCGCTAGGTCATTAGTAATTAATGAATTGCAGGAAAGTTTTATCTTCAAATTAATGGGTGATATTTACATAAAGATAATCGGATGCAAGAGAAACTAATGTCATATTGATTTGACCACATAATTGTCGAGTATTAGTTAAAATTCATAATATTATGTCATGTAAAACACGAAGAAAAGCTCTGAAAACAAAAACGAGAATAATACTTGTTAAATTATAAATAAAATCATTTCGAATACGTACGCACTAAAAGTTTTATCTAGTGTTCCATCAACTGATAATAAAACATCATTCTATCGTGTTAATCTAGCATCTTCAGTTAAATTTTGTACAAGATATCGAAGTATTATATTTATATTGATTAACTATCGATTTGTAGATTGACAATTGACATTCTAAAAAGAATTTTAAGCTATAGGAAAATTTTATAAATAAAAACAACGAATATTTCTATTTACTAGTGCTCGAAAAGCAATAACAAATGGATCAATTGATCGTAATGCAACTGATGACACAACATCAAATATAGTGTTAATTGTGTGGAATAAATATCCAAAAGTGATTGATCCTATTTGAACAAAAAAATAACTTGAGATTGTAAATGAACAAGAAGTACATCGACAATTTATCGTGAAAGACGTTTCCATTTATCATCTTCATTTCGAACACTATTAACAATAACTGTTAACAATCGTAAATCCTATAACAATATAAATTCTATTATTATTTTTTCAGTAAATACACATGATATGAAAAGATACTTTTATTTATAATAATTAAGACGCCTAGTTTTCCTTCAAACTCAAATACATAACAACAAGATGATTATTTTCAGATCATCAATTCGTTGAAGTGTGGGTGTGGGTTCAATCGAGGAGAAAAATTACATCTACACACCCATACTCACACCCTCTCGAGTTTCTAAGATATTTGAGACTTTATAGAAGGACGCCTTTTCTTCACTCTCATTTAATAAAACTTTTTAGGAATTTTAATTATTCGCATAACTCGAACAAGAAAAAAAATCATATAAAACTGGTTCTAATGCTGCCAAAGCTAAATAAAGAAATTTAACGATCATTTCTTTTTCTCGAAAATGTTTTTTTTGCTTCCTACCATGTGTTTCAGGTTCATGCCCACTTGCTAATAATGAATCATAATGTTTTATTAAATCTGGTACTTTAATAACTTGTTTTGAATGAAGTGTATCATGTGATAACATAACAAGAAATTCAGCAATACAATAAATAAAATGCTATTCAAAAATAAACGAAACGATTAGAAATGCAACGAATTTCATCAGCTTCTAATTAACTATAATTAACACGAATTAAAAGTAATTGAACAAGTAAATCGAGTACAGCAGCTTGAAAATCACTTTCATTTGTATATTAATATATTTTTTAAGACTAATTTTTTAGTTCAATAAAAACTGTAAAATAGAAAACAAAAAAAACAGAATAGATCAAATTCGTTTTTTTTTGTTTATTTTACTTTCGTATTGCACTATTTATACTTGATGCATAACGTGAACCAAATAAAATAAATTATCGATTGTCGAATACGTTATTGTATAAATATAAGTTAAAGAATTATTTAATGATACTTGTGAAGAAACATTTGAAGATTTAATAAAAACTAAATTAAAAGAATATTTTTAAATGAATGTTGTGTTAACAGAAAAAATGATTTTCAAATTTCGAATTGATAGCGTTTCTTGCAGATCGTTCACGTCAACTAGATGATTTAATATTCGAATTTCAAGATAGAACCGAATCAAAAGATCTGACACTTTCACAACAAAACTACTCTTGTTAAGATCATCGATATTTGTAAAATCAGTTTTTCTATTACTATGATATTCTTATATTGAAATTTTCCTTCTCTATGAAAGACCCTTTCAGAAACCTTCATTATAATATTTCCATCTAAAGTTTTATCCATAGACAAGTTTCAGACACAATACAACATCTTAAAGGTTTTAGCTTAACCAATAAATAAAGAAGATTAATAATTGAAATTTTCTTTATAATAAATATTTACTATTTAAAAGAAGTTACCTCTTGTGTACATTGAATGTTGATTTAAAATAATTAAGTGTTTCTTCCAAATTTTTTTGATAAATCTTGTGTAGAAATAAGACTTAGAACTGATTTCATAGACAATAATAATCGTTTCTGATGAGTTTAATAAACTTTTATGTATTTGATAAGATGAACGTATTAATTCGGATAATTTCCAAAAGTACCTAATTGTGTACGATTAACTTTTTTATCTTTGTCTGTATTTGATATTGTTGATGAATCTTTATCATTCTCTTTAAAAAGAAAAACAAATGAATTCATTCAGACGAAACATGATCAAATATATTCTTCAAATCTAAAACATTAGAACTCTCTTCTTCTGTGAAAACTGAAATATCAACTATATTCTGTCCAAAAGAATGATGATAAAATAGTTCAATTTTTCGAATTACTTGAATTATTTGTGCTACTTTCAAAACATTTTTTCATTTGTTGAGATTTGATAAATCTTCAAATAAAAAGAAAGAATTCAAAAAAAAACATTATAAATATCTTTTTTTTCTCTTTACTTGAAAAGATTAAATTCTTAAGATCATGTAATATAAAGGAATGTTTAAAAAAAATTATAAATAAACGAAGTTCATCATATTGATTATGAAAAAATTGGTCGAATTGTTGTTGATCTTAAAACATTTGAAAGAACATAAATATCTTCTAAACATCCAACCTATATAAAAGACAAAAATAACAAACAATTTGTATTCGAGTTGATGCTTGAGCTTGTAATGAATGATGAATTTTATATATCCATTGACATGGTAAAAATGAATTGTGATCAAAAAAACCTTAAAATTAAAAAGTAGCTAATAACTAACTTAATGCAATAAAATCGACTTATTCATCCAAATTCGAAAAAAGCTACGTAATTATTATCTCTACAAAATACATACTTAGCAAAAGTCGAAGCAATTGCTTGACGAACACGTATATCACGGTACTGTTGTTTTAATTGTTGTTGTTCAAGATAAGTTAATATTCGAAAATCAATATCATCTATAAGTTGAGCTAGCGCAAACTATTTTATATACACACAAAACAAAATTATCATAATTATAAATTTCTTTTATCTACTTTAGCAAGAATACAGGAACTTGTAGTATGTTGAATAGAATCTTCTAATAATTTAACTCCTATGATTGTAAATGCATGACTATTAATTAATAAAAATAAGGTAATAATGTTCGTAAAGCATTTAGTGAAACATGTATAACACGTGCATTATTATCATTAAGACATATAATCTTGAACTATCTTGTGAATCAGTTGATACAAGTGAACATTGTTTAATAAAAGATGAATTGTTGTTTGAATTAATGTAGCAAGTAAACTTGCACATGCACCACGTAAATGTAGATCACCATGTTCACATAAAGATAAAAGATATGTAATATCTTAAAGAAAGGAAAAAAAAAGATACCTTGATGTTCCATAAATTTTAATGTATTTCAAGTCATATAGAGATGAGAATTTCATTTTTCTCATTAGGAAATTTCATATCAGTTACAAAATTTTTATTTAATCAGAAATCTTCAAAGACTAATGAAAAACTTCTTAGAGGATACAATTGATTTCATATCTCGAACTTCGGCTTAGAACTATTTTTTGAAGTAATTGTGTGATTGTATAATTTCAATCTCTGATGTATAAATGCAGGCTTTGAGCTTCAATAAAGTGTTCTACTTGATATCGTTTCGAGTCTGATAATGTTCTAGTCTTTTGTTGATTCCAAAAAAATTAAAAATAGGACTAGAGCTGCTGAATCAATATTCAGAAATCTCCGTTCTTGAATTTTCAGATTCCAATATATATATAT